GGTGATATGCCTCCCTCTAGCATTCGGGGTTGGTGACAAGCGCAGTGGTGGTGGTACCGAGTTTAGTGGGTCTGGGGGCCCCATTAGTACCCGTCGGTATTCCTGTCGTGTCTGAGCTGCGGCTATTTTGACACTGGCCAGGTCTGCTGGCCCAAATTGAGCCGCCGTAGCCACAGGTGTCGCATCCTTTGGAGCAGATTCCTGTTTATCAGCCTTTTCCTGAGTCTTGGCCAGGATCGCCGCCTCTCTTTCTTCACCAGATCCTCTTGCAGCCTTTCTTCTCCTTTTAGCAGCACCTCTCAGGCGTCTACCATGCTTCCTTCGTTCTTTCTTCTTATCTTCTTCCTCCTCCTCCTCCTCCTCTTCCCAGTGAACAGACTTGCCTTCACCACCACAGGCTACTCACAGGACTACCCCCCTTCGCTGGAGGAGCTACCACTGCTGCTGGACTGGTGGGATGAGGCCGCTGATGTGGGCCTGGCAGGACGTACCCATTCCTGTGGGCCAGCAGGGGGCTTGGGCACGTATGCCATTCGTTTTACTACCTCTGTAAAAGAGGCTTTAGCAGTAGGAGCCTCCATAGAGGCCTCCTTTCTCTTAGGAGTAGGAGGTGGTAGGGTTGGCTCCGAAGAGACAGCGGAGGTGCTGTGAGGTACAGCAGGGTGGGGGTGACGACAGGGGGACAACTTTACCTGAAGGGCTTCAATTTCCTCCCCTTGTCTGCCAACAATGTCGGTCAGTGCTTTTACTGCCCGTTCTAAGACATGAACTCAACTCCAGTAGTTTATCCCGTTTCTTGGACCTTCATCGTCAAAGGTGGGGCCACTGTTCATCCAAGTTCGTACGTCCTGTACTGTGTCGTCTTCAATCGACTCGAACTCCGAGGAGAGGAGAGGTTGAGTATTGCCAGACCGGATGTCCTCTAGGCCCTCCAGCATGGATATGATTACACTACCTAAGCGTGGCCCGGGTGAGGGAGTCCTACCAGCATCCAGCATTTCACAGACACCTGCCATGATTGAGTCTGCCTGGGCTACCACAGCGTCAGCGTCCTCTGGTTGGGTTTCTGGGAGCTGAACTTCCAATGGGGTTGAATCGCCACTGGGGATTTCCGAGGCGTCCTCCATTTAGCCTGCGGGAGGTGACACCCATCGTCCAACAATAGGTGGAGGTGATGAGCCCATGGCTGGTGAAGGAGCATGTAATCTGTCGCCTAAACCAGTTGCTTCCGAGTTACGCCCATCATCCAACTCCATAGGGGTGTCCCTGGCTAGTACCTTAGAGGTGGGTAGGACATCCTTAGTTATCAGCGCGGATGGAGAAGGGTGTGTGGCCTCGATTGTCGATGGGAGCACCACAGGCGGTGGGATAGCCAGTCACCCATAGTGAACGTCTAGGGGCAGGCCAGGAAGAGCAGAAACCATCTGTTTTTTCCATCCCTCATTGATGTTGATAGCCCTCAAAAATTGGGGACCAAGGAGAGGAGCAGCAGATCGCTTAGTGGGACATGCCGATTGTGTCCGGCGGCGTGTTCCAGAGGCAGGAGGGTTATAGTCCTCGTCATTAGGGTCGTCCAGTTTGAGCTTCGGGGTTTCATAAAGATCCCTGTCGACTGAAGACATTCCTGCTAGGAAGGAGGGAGTAGAGGAGCCGGTCGCGGTATTGTGGGCCTGGCGGAAGAAGCTGGGCATCTTGCTTTGGACAGCCCTAGTGAGGGAAGGAGTAGTGGACCAAGAGCTGGCCTCGACCGTAGCGGCAGTCGAGTTGTCCTTGGTGGGGGAGGCGGAGGTTTCAGGGACTACAGCCTGAGAATCTTTAGGAGGGGAAGGTACGGGGGCTGGAGAGTATTCCAAGCCATGGTCTGAGTTGAACCGAACGAAGAGCCCTGTGGTAGTGTCTTTGTCCAAGCCACACATGGCTGAACAGCCTCTCCCGATCAGGAAACCTCTCACCAAAACCTCCACTTCATTCATCGTGGCAACAGTTGCATCAGCAACCGTTTGCCAAACCAAGTCATCAAACTGCGAGTTCACCGCATTCTGACACCCATGGCAGTGGTGAAACCGTAGAAAACTAAAGTTCCCTTTGGGTGCAACATACGACCGTGTAGTTGTGGGGATGAGGCCACGGTCAGCCTCAGTAGCAGGCACAAGAGACAAGGCCATACAGGCTGTCTCAAGCGAGGAGGAGGGGTTGGAGTCAAACCGAACGAGAGACAACATCCTCGAAGGGGGGGGGAGAATCCCTGGAAGAGGAGACTGTCGAAGATGCCATCCTTGCCCAAACTATACTCAGTGATTACCAGGACCAAGCCACGGATATCTCACACTGAAGTACCTTCTAAGCGAGAACAACTACTTCTAACTGACCGCCCGAAACGATTAACACAAACAATTAACAGTAGATGAAGTATTTATCGTGAGCAAAATAAGGTAAAGTATTGGTTATGCTCACTTCCGACATGGAGTGCAAGAAGTAGGAAAAGTACTTAGAACAATGCATGAAGAACCTATCCTCCTCAGCCACATCGGTCTCCCTATATAGTATTCTTCCCACTCATAGTCATATGACCAAAAGTAGTCACATGTGCAAAACCAAATCATAACAAACTAATCATGTGACCAAAGTGGTCACACGCTCAAAACTCATGACCTCATAGCAAGGTCATGTGTAAAAACTCGTAAACCAATCATGACACAATAAACAAGTCATATGACTCGAATGAGTCATATGCGTGAAACCCATGACATCATAACGAGGTCATGTGCAAAACCTAAATCATATGTACAAGGCATACCTGCAAGGTACACTCACAAGGCATACTCACCAGGAGCACATCTCATGACTCATAATCAAGTCATGTGCGAAATATAACAAATTATAACATAATAAGTCATATGACCCAAATGAGTCATATGCATGAAACAATAACATACCTATGACTCAAAATCATGAGTTATGTAAAAACCTTTTCTGTGCCAAGCCACATTCGTGACATAATCTGCATTGTAGCTGAAATCAAGTAACTGGTAAGCAGTTTTCTTTGCTTGAGTGGCATGGCATAGTTGGACTTTATTCAGTTACGCAATTGGACCACTGATGCCTTTTCACTACATTTCAGTAGACAATGACAGACTCTACTTAACTTTTGTAGATGATATTCATAATTATCATCCTAGTTACTACTATCAGACTATCTGTATCTCTTATTCCAAACTTGATGTACATACCTTTACCTCACTCAACTCATCAGTACTCATCTTATCAGAGTATGCATCACTTAAGTAACTGGACTCTAAACCACCTTGTTTACTCCTAGGTCATTCTGAGTCTATAATACAATATCCTTTATCTCTAACTTTGGGAAACTTACTATCACTTTCATCATTCCAATCGCTATTATCTGAGTTCCACATTGTAACCAATTTAAACTTGGTAAGAGAGATTTATGGGGGAATTGAAAGTATCAATTGAAACAAATTGAGAACAGTAAAATAATATTGTAATAGTAATAGAGATGGAAGAGGATCCTAAAGCTAGCCTTATTCTATAGCAATTATAATTCAGAAATTAGGGATTTGGAATAGGTTTGTACTTTCACATATTGCTTATTCATCATCAGGATTTAAGAAGTACTTCATGCAATACATTTTTACAGAAAAAGTATCTTGACTTTAATAACAAATAAAACATGTATCAAGTGCTCATTTGATTCAAAAAAAGGTTCTACATGTAGCCAGAGAGCTGTAGTTTTTTTCTATAGAAAAATATTATTTTTGAGATATTTCATATTTTTCTACATAAAACATGCTACAGAGGTCGTTGGAGCTTCTAGAATATTTTCTGAGCTATTGGAAGTATGCTCTAAAGGTCTATCTAGGTGGTTATACCAAAATAAATTTTTAAGAGTTAAGTGCTCATATGCTGGTTTTAATAAAAACACACTCATTTTACTCAAACCCTTTCCGATTCACATATACTTTATAAGAATATTGGCAAATTCTCAGGATTGAACACATTCATCCTTATATTTTACCTATTTATAATATGGTTTTCCATGGTCGTAATTATGTTTCTTCCTATTATTTCTGTCTATTATATAAAGTTTACACAAAGAATGCAAACTTGTATATATAGATGCTACTACCCACTTCATTTACAAAGAATTAAGGACAAGAATCTCTACCAATCTGCCTTCATATCTTTTACCTTCTCACTAGAAATGTAACCATAATATCCTCTTAATATTATGTACGTATAGTCTGTATTACTATTAAGATTGTACCATTTAGAAATTCAATATACCATACATGCTGATATGACCTGTATACCTTAGCCAGTCTTAGAGCATATTAAATAAACAGAATATTTCTTCTTCCTCATTTCCTTATATTAAGAACTCCTCATATTTACCATTTTTAAGAGAGTATATAGAGAAGAAACACCTGCTACACAATAGTTATACAAATCCTTTTTCATGCCTCTACTTGTTTTAGATATTAGGAAATATGCTATTTCCAAAAATAATATTACAAAAAATAGCTATGTACTACACTAGCTTCAAATTTGAAAATAAAATAAAATTTCTAGATAATGTTAGGATTACTTTTTTTTTTTAAAGTAGTGACATGGGAGTGCTGGGTGATAATGGAGGAATAAAGCTTAAAATTGGATGGTATGGGAGACCTCTACCGTAATAATAAAGCATTCGCTGGCAAATGGCAACGAGTGATAATGGGGAGTAACTGGCGTGGCAAACCAAATTTAGCACACCTGAGGCCCCAGCATGACAACCGATCCCAACCGTTCCACTCAGAGCCTCTAAACGCAGGGACCAAGCTTCCGATAGCTTAACCCCCAAGTTGGTGCGAGCCTAGCCGGCTCTTGCCGACCGGTTGTGGAATTTGGTGTTTATTTCGACTGCCCTTCACCCCCTTCCTTTCACTTCAAGTAATTTCTCATTCTCATTCTGTCCTTTGCTGGGTTTGCAATATCTAGACATGTCTCTGCTTTTACGAAGTGCAAATGGGTTCATTCGGGGTGGGAAGAAGGTAACTTATATGCAGTACTATAAAGGGCTTGTAATGACATCACGGAATTGGGCTAATGTTGGACCCCTAGCATTTATTCTTACTGACACGGACGTTCGCGACTACTTCGAGGAGGTTCGAAATTAATAAAAGTACTTCCTTATCTCCTTCCCTCTTCAAGTTCCGACTGACAATATGCCACCGCCAGTCTACCCCTCGGCGACGGAAGCCATCAAAGACCTAACATCCGACTCCACCCTCCTAGCCGGTGGCTTCGGCCTCTGCGGTGTTCCGGACACCCTGATAGGCGCACTGCGCTCTAAACCATCGATCAGAAACCTGACCGCAGTATCCAACAACGCTGGTGTCGACGGCTCCGGCCTGGGAATCCTGCTTGCCTCGGGCCAGATCTCGAAAATGATCGCCTCTTACGTGGGAGAGAACAAGACCTTTGAGCAAAAGTACCTCACGGGAGAAATCGAACTGGAACTCACCCCGCAGGGCACACTTGCTGAGCGCTGTCGTGCCGGTGGGGCAGGTATCCCCGCATTCTACACCCCAGCGGCGTTCGGCACCGTAGTCCAAACCGGCGAATTGCCGGTCCGGTATAACCCCGATGGCACAGTCGCGGCCTACAGCAAACCGCGCGAAGTCCGAGTCTTTGATGGCAAGAGCTACGTGATGGAAGAAGCCATCCGGGGCGACGTCGCGTTCGTCAAAGCCTGGAAAGCGGATTCTCTAGGAAACTGTCAATTCCGGTTCTCCGCAGCCAACTTCAACGGCGCCATGGGACGGAACGCGACGCTCACCGTCGTCGAAGCGGAGAACATTGTGCCGGTTGGCGGTATCGATCCGGCAGCCGTGCACCTACCTGGGATATACGTCGACCGCGTAATTCAATCCACAACCCCAAAGAACATCGAGAGACGATCCACCGTCTCGAAGGACGCAGAAGAGCAGTCCGCAACACGCTAGGCACCACGCTGAGTACAACTA